GGGATTCTTACAAAAGGAGATGGCAAATACTTGCCTTGCAAGGACAAATCTCCTACCCAAATCACATCCTTGCACTTTGGGTGCCATTGCTTAGCAAAACCCAGCTGAAATTCAGTGTCAGTCTTCTGCCCCAAAGCAACATATTCAGCCAGTTATAACTTCTGAGTTGTAACTTCCTTGCAGCTGTAGGAGTTTTCTCTTCAATACAGAAAATGCTGCTGCTAAGGAAGAGCACAGACGTGTCTGCAGCTATTTCTGTCCTAGCTGCATGGTGAAAATCACCATTTCTCTCCACCTCCAGAGCCCTTTTCTCTGGCGTCCCTGAAACTCCCTCCTCCCTCTACTCCTGCAGAACTGCCTGCGCCCATCCTGAGGGGAGCAGCAGGCACTGAGGAGTCAGCAGCACATTGGGGCACCCAGCTTGCCCCCACTGTGCTGCCTGGCCCAGCTGCGTGGCACGTCGATGCTGTCACCGCCAGGGAGGCAGCAGCAGAGGATATGCCTTGACAGAAGAGATGCGAAGAGCCTGTCCTGGAGCTCGGGGACAGGGCCATCCTTTCGATGGCAATAGCAGGCACCAGCCTGCTGTTTGTTGGGGTTTCCCGCAGAGGCACGGCTGCTTTCCAGCGGGAGATGAGCGGGCAGTTCAGTTCACCCGTGCATTTATGACATGTTGTATCCATTACTGTGAAATGTTTGTGTCCAAGCGCAAACCCATTGCCTTTAGGATCCGAGCAGCTAATTCAAGGATCAGGTCAAATCAAAACGCTTCACTCCTCCTCTCTACCTGCCTCCGTGGGATGCGGCCCCAGTGCATCCTGGCAGCAAACGCCTTTCCCTGGGCAGCACAGCCGCCAGCCTGAGAGCCAGTGTCCCTGCTGCGGCGAGGGGACAGGGATCTCTAAGCAGGCAGCCTCCAAACCCCGAGGCTTCCCCTAAAAAAGAGGCAGGAGGGTCAGTCGCCAGCCCCCCCTCCCAAGGCACTGCATGGTGCAGTGAGAAGCCCTGTCCACAGCCAATGGCCAGCTCACCCTCCCTGGCAGGGCTCGGGGACGAGGGAGGTGTCTCTCCTCTGTACACGCTCAGGGTGCAGATGCAAGGTGCTCAAATAACGCAGCGATGAGAATTGTTTAAGGATGCCAGAAGGATGGGCAAAGCTAGATAAGAGAAAATAGAAATCTAACTCAGCCTGGCTCTGTATAAACTAAACCATCATCATCCTCTTTACCACTATGCCAGCATGTATGTGCTGCCGTGCTTACTTGGGAGGAAAAGGAACGTCTTTTGTATGGTGCTATTCAGTGTGGTTTGACATTTTATTTCACAGATGCAGCCACGGAGCAATGTTAGCCTATTGTGAAGGGTTATTTGGACAGGTACAATTACAGCTCGGCAGTGGAGGTGCCTTTGATTCCGGCACCCCTGTTATTCCTGAGGCTTTTCATCCCACCTGGTACCCAGCTAGAAGGCCTGTGGCTGAGCCCAGCCTTTGAAGTTGTTTCTTTTCTGTTTCCCTTTAATTTTGATGGTGTCTTCTTCTGCTGATGAACGTTATTAACGAAGGCTCTGGCATTCAGTTGTGCTCAAAATACTGATGCTTGGCAAGTGTCTGACCTTCCTCAGCTGTACAGCAGCCATCTGCAGGAGAGCAAGCAGTGGGCCCAGGGCAGTCTGTGCAGCTCCACCAGAGGAGAATCACCTTGTGCATCCCACTGAGCATGGTGCCCATGGGGAACGACCTGCTCCTGGCTGCTCATCCTTTTCCAAAGGACTGTGCTGCAGTGCAAGTTTATGTGTCAGCAGCTCCCAGCTTCCTGCCTCCAGAAATCTCCAATGCAGGACTTTGCTTCTGGGGAAAATGAGGTCTTTGAGATCAGATGTATGTGGAGATGGATGAGAGAGAGGGAGAGTGATTTCTAGCAGGGGAAGTGACATCCTATTCTAGGAGCAGCCGTGTGGCCGGTGACTAGTTCTGTAGGGTGGCTTGAGATTTTAGTGTTAGGATAAGGAATTAGATGCCAATTACCTTTAAGTTTGAGGAAAGAACATCTGTATGCAATTTGGGGTGGTCACTTGTGATCGAATAGGACAGAAACTGATGCCATTTTCTTGATTTTGCGTTTAGCATGTTACTACGAGACCAAGGAGGAAAGCTGCCCAGAGATAGGGTTCCCGTGTACTGGGAGTTCGAAAGACAGACCACAGAGAGGAAGGCAAAGGAATCCACCAAGAGCTGTTAAACGCAAGCCCACTGTGACGCAGACCTTTCTGGCATGAGACAGCATGGAAGGGAGGCACTGCTAGATGCATGTAGGCATTTCATCTCCTACAGGCCACTGTTAAACAGAATGATAGATGAGGCTGATCCTTTTGATTGGTCGGGATTTTCTTCTATCAAATGGGAGGAAGTATGACTGGACCAGTACAGGCAAATTTCAGGCAACAACTACAGTGTAATTGCAAGAACTGTAGACGCAAAATCCGCTCGTTGCAAGAGTTTTCCAGAACTAATGACCCAAGGTGTCAGGAAGCAATGCTCTCCAATAAAAACTGGAAAGCCACATTTAGTTCAGACAGAGCCTTGTCAGCATTTCTGAATGCACCGTGAAGGACTTGTCCAGAGCTACCAGCTTCTTGGGGCCTTAATTGCCCTCATTGAAGTTGTGCTAAGTTCAGTAGATAACTCTTTCTAATTAAGTGCAAACTCTTTCGGATGCTAAAGAAAATCACGTCTTGATTTTACCTTTCTCCTATCTTAGCATTTATAATTAGCTTTCACAAAAATAAGTGTCTTGCTGGATGCAAACCCATGGCTGTGCCTGACCCCTTCAACATAACCCCAGAGACCTTCTTACATTAGGCAGGAGTGTATTTACTGACATTAGCACCGACAAAGGCAGGGGAAAAGAAGCAGTCATGCCTTCGCCTTTGCCTCTGGACTGGGATCATTCATTCCATCTCAGGACAAAACCCATTTCTTACTGGGTGCCCTTCACCCTGAGCCACCTGTGCCCCCTCTCCTGCTACACTGGTACCCCAACAGACCACCTCCAGAAGGACACGTGCCTGGCAGTGCTCAGAGACTTTTGCCTGAAAACCTTGTAGAGAGGTGGGATGCACCCGACTGTCCGCTCTACATGGCATTTATTAATCTCTTAGTTTTGACACAGGAGATTACCTGGAATTAGAAGCTGCCTGTGCTCTCACAGGCGAGAAAGCACTACTTGCTATATGGACATACCTTTATGAAGCTAGGGTATGCAGTTGCTTTGGACCTCTTTCATATTATAGCCATATAATTGCCCTTGTTTTTCAGCCTGCATATATCTGCCTAGTGATGAGTTTTTCCATGAAACTAGTGTGAGGCCAGGGCATCTCCTTTCTTCCTCTTTATTTGCTCATAAACATCCTAACCCACCTGGATGAACCTATACCCGGTGATGTATTTCCTTGTAAAACGTTGGAAATCAAGGAATTCCTGAGATGTTGTTCATACTCAATATGAAGAGTCCAACTTCAGCAGGCTGTGATCCGACCCACTGGTGCAACTGGCAGTGGGCAAAAAAGTCATACTCAAAGTTTCATCGCTTTTGGGGACAAAAATGGAGATTGTGATTAAGTGGATGTTCCGCAATGCAGACTCAGAGTGAAGTCAGTCTCTAGAAGCTTATTAACATGGCACAGGTAGCAGAGGCAGGACCTCAGCAGTCTCTAATCTTTTTTAGCTTTGCCAAAAGCAGGAGAATTCAGTGAGATAAAGTGTCAAAGTCTGGAATGTATTTAGTAAATAAAAAGTGACCCCAGAGGAAGTCAAAGTAAAACAGAATAACAGTTCAATTTTTCAATTACCTGAACAATCTATCAGCGTTAATCCTGCGTGCCAAATACCAGCTCCGTACGCTGTGAAGAAATTTCCCTGCTGAATTAGTGTCAAGTGCTGCTCTTAATGCCAGTTTATTTCTAGCCACGCTTGATAACATGAACAAACACTCGTTCTCACTCATGTAACATAATAGGGAAAGTTACACAAGCAGGTGAAGGTTAGAATGCATTTTGTTCTGGATACATAATTAGAAATGGCTTTAAAAGAAAAGTGGCTCAAAATTTTGTAATAAAACCATTTTTTTGAGGAATTGAACACTATTTATTGCATGCTGTGTATTACCTTCCTGCTTTCCAGGCTCAGAAAAAAAACCCAACAACTTTTTTTGAAATATTTAACAAGATATCTGCAGAAATGCAGACTTAAAATATGTCCAGCATTGTGTTTTCATGTTACCCGTCCTTTTTCTTTTCTTTCTCTTCATTAACTGGAAGAAATTATTGATGTCGCAGTAGGGTGAAATTGGGCACTTCCTTTAAAAAATATTTATTTTCTTTCCCCTAATTCTGGAAAAGTTACCAAGTGAAAAGGAAAAAAAAAACAAAAGCCAGAGTGAAGGGAAAAGAGAACAAGGGAAAAGATTGTGTAGAAGATTTAAAAATTCAAGATGAAAAATGCTCATCTTGAGGAAAACCTTGGGAAAAAAAATGGAAAAATGAAGGGAAAGAAAACCAAAATACTTCTGCATAGGAAATATTATTTATTGGGTGAAAAGAGAATGAAAACATTTTCGTCCAGAGGCTCTGAATTGGAAGAGACTTTCAGAAATCAGACACAGTTCACTCCAGCTGTCGGAAATGGGCTCCTGCACCGTACGTGTTGCCTGACCTGCCACTGGGAAACCTGGGCGGCCGCAGGCGTTGCGCGTGTCCTCCGCCTGTAGCCTTTCTGCTGATGAACACAAGCCTCCCAGCTTTCCCCGTAAACGTGAAATGCTCTTTGTTAATGGTCTTGGTGGGAAGGCTGCCTCGCTGCGACAGGTGTGCGGGGATGCTGCTCCTGCACTCGCCGAAATGAACACCCATGCCTGGCACCTCAGCGCTGCCCCGGTGATCCCCACCTGGTGCCACTGCAGCTTCTTCTCTTTTTTTTTTTTTCTCTCCTGTGTGCTCCCCAGTTCGAGTGAGGGCTTCGGCGTAGCGGAGAAGATTGTGCTGCTCACCTTCATCTCCGCCGTTATACTGATGGCCATCCTGGGGAACCTGTTGGTGATGGTGGCCGTCTGCCGGGACAGGCAGCTCAGGGGAGTCCACCGAGCTGGCCACCGCCTGCCCTTACGTGGGGAGGCACGGGGAAAAATCCCCACCTAAAAGTTCCTGTGCCTGCAGCTGAAGGCCTAACCTTCTGCTACGAAGGGTGTCTCTGGTCATGCATTGCAGTGTGGGGATGTCAGACTCCCACACTGGTCTCAGTGCATCCCCGCTCAGATTTACACCGTGGCAGTGGGATCGTTTTAGTAGCCATCCTCTACGTTTTTAGCACTCTCGGTGTAAAAACCCCAGATAATTCAGTGAAGACCAGATAAGCAGCAGTTCCTTGGTGAGGCAGGTTGGCCTCTACCCCTTTTCCATCTCAAATTTCCTTATGAGCCCATCAGAAAACCCACGCAGATTAAGGTCCTGTTGCTGTTGTGCTGCACTGCCACAGCTTGGTGAATGCTGCCAGTGGTTTGAGGGGGTCACAGGCAAACCCCCTGTCTTAAGGCTTGCTGCTACCCCTGGGAGTTGTCAGACCAGCCTCAGGAGCAGAGTGAGGTATTCAACAGCCTCTATTCATATTCTGCGTGGGATTTTTAATGGATTTAATTCTATTTTATTGTTATGATTTAAAAAGTACTCTTCAAGTTAAAATTACAGCTTCAGTGTAGATTCTTCTCAGTGCTTTCTGGAAGGATTTTCTCAATTTGCAAGTTAAAATAAAATCCCCCTCTTCCACCCCACACTCTCCAATGCAAGCTATGAGGCTGAGCCACACATGCAGAGGCCTGTGAGCATCTATCTGCTTCTTCTGTGTGAGCAGAAAGATGCGTTTGTGCAGGGAACACAGTGGATACTTAGCTGTAATAACGAGGAACAAGCTAGGGATGACCATATAAAGTGACAAGTACATTAGAGAGGACCTTTTAGTGTGATGGAGCAGACTAGACCCAAACCCAAGCTGAAATCTCTGTCCACATGTAGAGGATGCTGCACTGAAACTGTTCCACCCTAATTTTGTGATCTGTCTTGCAGGAAAATCAAGACCAATTATTTCATTGTTTCCCTTGCTTTCGCGGACCTACTGGTATCAGTGCTGGTGATGCCATTTGGAGCCATTGAGTTGGTTCAGGACAACTGGATCTATGGAGAGATGTTCTGCCTGGTCCGAACGTCCCTCGATGTCCTGCTCACTACAGCGTCTATCCTGCACCTGTGCTGCATCTCACTGGACAGGTATGAACAGAAGAGCATAGAGCATAATTTAGTTGCTTTATGTTTCTTCAGTGTTGTTGCTCATCAGCAGTGGTCAAAGGGCAAATATGAACCTGCTGGGAACTGTAGAGCAGCGAGTCTCTGTCAGTGGCTGATTTTGGAGAGCCCTCTGCATCCTTATCAGTGTAGAAAAACTTTGAAAGGAATGAGATTTATATCGATAGAACAAGCCAGGCTCTCAGCTGCTTTGCTGGACAGCTTTGTTTGCATTACTGATCAGACATGGCACAGTTTCTTCTTTAAAGTAAAGAAAGACACCTTAAGGTGTATCCAGAGACCTGCAGCTGTCACAGACGGAGGTGCACAGTTGTTTTAGCGGGGACGTTGCTCTCCACTGCAATGTCGGGTGTTGCTCACTGCCAGGGGCTGCAGGGGAGGCTTGGCTGGTGAGTGGCTTGATGTGTTGTGCTGAGCCTTCTCTTCCCAGGGACTGAAACACTAAATTATCTGCCTTTCTCTCTCTTGTCAAAAACGTATTTGACATATCTTTCAAGTTCTATCAGAACTGTTCTTCCTGCTGCTAGCAGCCATACAGGCAGATGAAAACCAGTATTACTAAATGATACATTTTGGCATATGTTACTAGATTATACGGAGAAAGAGCAAAAAGAGCAAGCTGCCCTATATTTTATGGGATGTTTTTCTAAGGCGTCTGTTCGCACATCTCCACTAGTGACTGCTAACAAGGAGGTAAATAAAGCTGGTGAAAAGTGTGCATAGGCTTTGTGGAAGATCCTAAAAACTTTCTCTTTTTTTCACACTTTTCTTGCAAAATTAAAATGAAGCCAAAATCCTAAATAGTTTATGGCAAACAATTCTGGCTATTCTAATAAGCAGTATTTAGAGCTTTCATCCAAGTTCTGTGCAGAGATTTCAATACTTTAAAAAATACTATTACTTAGTATGGCCAAAGTAACCATAATCGTTCTTGTCATCATGACAATTGATATTTAAATAACATCTTTCATCCAAAGAGTCTGTACCCAGCCAGACTTCAGAAGATACTTCACTAACTTCTCCATTGATGGCCAGCACTTCTTTTTTGTGGGAGAGAGGGGCACCGGCACATACAGTATTGTGTCCAGAGAGGCGCTGATGTGTAATAGGTACGGCATGTTTCCTTATCTGGAAGTTTAGATGGCTGGAACACAAATAGGAAGCTCATTATCTTAAAAAAGTTGACAACTTTGAGCCAATTACCAGTAAAGCAGGTGTTAGGCACTATGCTTTGGATGTGGCCTTGTTTTATAAAATGTTGGGCTTTGATTCTGCAGGCTCTTAATTAAACATGGGGATTGTGTAGAGAAGGGGACAGGAGACGAAAATATTGTTTTCCCCCTCCCCTTCACCCCCTGATCTCTAACACCTGCAGGGGATGGGGAACCCCCGTGTAGGGTGCACGGAAGGGAAACTCTCCCTTTTCTCCTGCCTGTGCCACCCTTTGTCATGTCATGAGCTCTTGCTCCTGCTGTCTGTCCCCATCGGTCACCATGCTCCTGGGGCAGCCTCCCTGGGGGTGGTGAAGGGGTTGGGGGCATCCTTGGGACTATGGCTTTTGAAACGCATGGCTCAGAGTTAATTTTTTAGGGATACAGAACAGAGATCACGGTTTTGTACAGGAAGATTTTCTTTATATAAACAGACCTGAGACAGAGTTTGCAAACAGCCAACTCAGTAGAAGGAACTGGAAATGGAAAAAACAAACAAACACCTAAAACGAGATGGATTAGATTATTCTGTACTAAATGAGACATTCAGAGCAGAGTCTGAGCACCTGGAGAAGCGTACAGCTCTGCTCTTCCTTCTGTGCTCTTTTATTTTCTGGCTCTGGGAGTCTTGAATTTTCTCTGCCAGATGCAGAACTGCCATGGCAAAGGGTGAGCATCGCTGCCTACAGTAACACACAGATGGTTCCCCTTGCTGTGGACAGAGGGAAAAGGGGAGCTGAGTCTGGGGACCCCCACTCCATCCCCCCCATCCCAAGCCAATGCTTTAATCACTAGAATACTGCACAGAGGAGGAGAACGACTGTCTTGAAAGAAAGCGGTAGTTGTAGCCGTGTTTTGGAAGAGATTAATTCTCTAAGCTTGTTCCATGTGTGTTCTGAGAAGGTTTTGGGAAGGTGCAGCATCCCCTGCACTGGGGTCTGAGGGGGACGGGCAGTGCACTTGAATTAGTCCCATATCAGCACCACTCCATTTATGTGACCTGGCCTTCTGGGATGAAATTATCCCACTTTTAAAGATTTCTGCTTCCTGAGTGTGTAAATGAACCTGTTGCTTGTCCAGAAACATTTTTCCTATTTCTTCAGGATTAGAAAGATTCTTTAAAGTAGAAGGACATACAGACACACACACACACTGGGTAAAAGGAAAAACCCAACATCCACCAATCTTGGTGCTAAACTGATTGAAAAAAAAAGTGTGTGTGGCTCTGAATTTGAAGGAGCTGGAGATCATCTTAAGTATTACAGCAACAAAATTTTTGTCAGAAAATGCCTCTAAACCTCTTCCTCATGAATGCACTGACAGAGAGAAATCCCCTGGTATTTGCCATCCCTCCAGTATTGGCCATGTTAGAGTAAACAGCAGTCAAATTGCTTGAAAAGAAGCCGAGGGTGAATTCATTACTGAGTGCTGGGTGTGCTGAAAACCTCTGCAAGTTCAGGGGTGAGGGAGTAGAGTTGCACTGTCTGGGATACAGAAACACAGGCGCAATTTTTGACAGCTGACAAACCTGAAATTTTGTTTCAGGGAATTATTTCAGGGTGCACAAATGCTCTTTCTCTTTCACATGTGATTACCATACCTGTGCTGTTCTTTGCTCTCAGGTAGAGCAAGGGGAAGAGAAAAGGTTCTCCAAGCTGGTGGCTGGACGCAGCCTGACATGGATATTTATCGCAGCCTTTATCGTTTGCTTGACGCTTTCATGCTCAAGAATGGCACCTCTGCAGACTGGCTGCAGAGCTGATCTAAATTCTAGGTAATTCTCTGGTACTGCGTTTTTCTTGTTTCTCTTCTCAAAATGGCTTTATTGGGCGCTTGTTAGAGCAATGACCACCACACACAATACCATGAGCAGAGCCCTAACACCACCCCCAAGATAGGCTGCTCCTCTCCAAAGGCACTTGAATTTGCCATACAAACTTTTCTTTGCTGTCTAATCTCTGCAGGGCATATATAGCTCTCCTAGCTATTCTGTGTTGCTGTAGAAGTTCATCTTGGATGCTGTTTTGAATCCATGGTTAATAATTTGCAGCTTTGTCTCTGTCACGAAAAAAGCCAGGATTTCATCTAAGACATTTCAAAAGTTATATTTCTTCTCCCAGTACAAGAAAGCACAATTATGTCTGTGTTTGCTGACAGTGAGTGTTAGCTGAAAGAGAAAGCCCAAGATCTCTCTGTCTCATGTGAAGAGGAGAATCCCAAGTCGACTGCATGGCTTTTGTCACCTTCTGTTTGATCAGATACCTCGGTATGAATCTGATTGAGTCCTAAGACTAGGGGCTTCTGGGTTCTCCCAGGACCAAATGTCAAGTTTAGACTACCCACCATGGGGCTTGAGACAGACCAAGGTGCCTCCTGTAGTGCTGGACTAGCTCTCCTGAACTGCTGTAAATGAAAATATTATGGAGGTGGGTCAGTCCCTGGTCATCTTCCTCTCTTAAAGCTGTATTTCTTCTTCTGATTGATTGACTGACTGATTAACATGATTTTCAAAAGACAACTTAGTAGCACACCAGTAGAGTACTGTCGTACTGTTGCTGAAGTTGTTTAACATCCACCTGGACATCGTTCTTGAGCACAGAAACAGTCCTAACCTGCCTGGGAGTTTCTGTGCTAATTCATGAGCTCTTTCATGCCCCAAACAGTCTATTAAAAAGACTTTCTTTCTTCCTGAATTACCACTGTATATGTTATTTTGCATTTCTGCAGTGCCTGCTCTGCACTGGCAAGGTCTGGCAGCCTGATTAGGCAAGTCAGAAAACGTGTTGTATGAAAGAATTGCTTTCCACGACACAAGCAGCAGACCCTGATGCCTGCAGATCCAAAACCTGGTACTCCTTACCTAGCAACACTGTCAGAGCTAAACATTAACAAAGACCAAGGACATTGATTTTTTTTCCTATTGGGCCTGTTTAATAAACCATTTTCTGATTGAAATGAAACATGAGGTCTTTCCCTCCATCTCTCAGAGGAGGCATTTGGGTGGAAAAAGACAGGGAGAATGTAGACATTTTGATTTTGGCCCTTACCACATCCCTAAGGATGTACCATTGTCTCTTCCTTGCTGCACTGAGGGGGATGTTACGCTTGTGCCATGTCATGCTGCCGGTCACCTGGAGCTAGTGACAATCCCACTTCACTCCTGTGTCCTTTTCGCAGAGACTAATTCGCTTTTGCTGCCATGAATTTGGCTGCTATTCCAAACCTCCTCAGCAAGCAGGACAACAGGGATTTTCACCACAGCTTGGGTGGACTGGTGGATACAGAACAATAGATCCCTTTTCAATACCAGAAGAAGGCTAAACCCCACCATTTAAATCTGCCTTTTTCTCCTTCTCTACGTGTCAGCCCCTTGCTGTGACTGTCCTGGGGGAATCACTTCAAGATGTGTTCTGGTCTGTGATCATCCTGAGAAGGGCAAGGAGAAAATTTCAAGCTCGTTTCATGTCAGTGCTAAAGATGAAAAGTGAAAATACCCATGCTTCAGTTACATTTGAATAGACATGAGTACAAAAATTTTCTAAATTCCATCTATTTCTTGAGCACCTTGCCTATTTTTAAAATCCTTTTCCTTTTGCAGACTGAACTCAAAAAGTTGTGCTGTTCCTGGTGCATATTAGTGAAAATGTGGGTACCTGACAGCATGGTCTAATAGTGATTAATGACTTGATAGAGTAACCGTCCTCTAACCCAAATGAGCAGTGCACCCAACACGTGCTGTTCACAGCTAGGATT